TGATGGACCGTTTCTGGTACAGAATCTTCTCCCTTCAGATCCACCCATGTGGGGAAATGCATGATCTTCTCTGAGAGCTTCTTCACATCGAATGAGTGCAGTGTAGCGGAGCAAACTATCACCTACAACACATACAGTAATTAATTCATTAAGAACTGCAGCTGACAACTCTATAGTAAGTAGAAATCTAGCGCTTTGATCACCTGCAGTCTTTTGCCGTCTGAAGTAACCTGTGGGATCTGGTTGTAGATCCTCATGATGAAGTCAGTGTAGCCAGCTGTGAGGAGTCCATCCTGAACACATTTATTCAGCCAGAAATTACAAAGGTTTTTTCTTTTTTTTGCACTTTCCCATATGTTCAGATAGATTTAACCCACAATCTTGATGATGATAGACATTTGTTTGTTTTTTTACAAATTGAGGTATTTACAGTGAAATCAACAACTTGTCACAAATGCTGTCAACAGAACTTGTAGTTAAGCCAGAGCATTCCTTTAATGTAAAACTGTACAGAGCATGAATGTAAGTGTTCAACATACACACTCATCCAGCACCAGGAAGCGGACTTGGGAAAGATCCAGCTTTCCTGTGGATATGAGATCATCCAGTCTGCCTGGGGTCCCAACCACAATATCAACCTAAAAGGACAATAATAAAAAAAAAAAGTATAAACACAGAAAGATGCATAGTATTATAAACTTTGTTTAATGTTCTGTATTATGGTCTTGGACAGGAGTCTTAAATCACTATCGAGAGAGAGAGAGAGAGAGAGAGAGAGAGAGAGAGAGAGAGAGAGAGAGAGAGCGAGAGAGAGCGAGAGGGTTACATATTGTATCAAATTAAGTGTTGCCTTATTAAAACTGGTCTGTGATAACTTTTGTATTTTAACATTATTTGAATTGATATTTTGGTTACAATGCTATCAAATAATCATTATTGTACATACTTGTTTACTGAAGTTATATCTATATAATTTAATATTTAATTTTATAAACTAACATTCAAAACTGTGGGGTCAGTAAGATTTTTAAAAATGTTTTTGAAAGAAGTCTTTTATGCTCATCTAGTCTTCATTTATTTGATCAAAATACAGTACAAAATTAATATTATGAAATATCATTACAATTTAAAATACCTGTTTTCTATGTCAATAGGTTTTAAAGTATAATTTATTCCTGTGATGGCAAAGCTACATTTTCAGCAGTCATTACTTCAGTCTTCTTCAGTGTCACATGATCCTTCAGAAATCATTCAGAAATCTGATTTGGTCCTCAAGAACATTTCTTATTATCAATGTTGAAAACAGTTGTGCTGCTTAATATTTTAATTGAGAATGTTTTGTAATATTTTGTATTTTTTTGGTGTTATTTTTGTTCAGGATTCGATTAATAGAAAGTGCAAAAGTACAGGATCTATTTGTAACATTATAAATGTCTTTACTGTCACTTTTGATGAATTTTATGCATCTTTGATGAATAAAAGTATTAAGTAATAAAAGTATAAGAAATCTTCAACCCCAGACTTTTGAATGCTAGTGTATATTTTAATTTAGCTTTAGCATTAAAGATAACTTAGTATATTTTCACAAAATAATATTTTGACATCAAAAAATAATAAAAGACCCCATGTTTAAGATTTGTACACTTACTCCACTTTCTAAAATGGAGAGCTGCTCTTTAGCAGCCACTCCTCCGATGATCAGAAGATCCCTGCAATAACATCATGACGTTCAGTTAACTCCAAATCCCTCTGCAGACACTACAATAATGAAACTCACTGCAGCTCTTCTGTTACTCTCAGCTCACCTCAGTTTGGGGTTATCAACATATTTCTTGAACTGGTTGACATTATTGAGGGTTTGTTCAGCTAGCTCTTTAGACGGCTCAATGATGAGAGATCTGGGGGCGTTAGAACTGGATTTGACCTGACTCACTTTAGCACTGCCTGAGGACAAATACACATCACAGACAGAATGCAAGAAACATTAATACAAGCCCTGCAGGCAGTGAAAAATGAATGTGATTTGAAGCTCACCTGTCTGGCTGGATTTGACCACATGACAGTCTGAAGCCTGGTTCAGGGCCACATATCCATCTTTAGGTTGGTTTTTGAAAGGTTCATCACCAAAGTTGAATTTCAGTTCAGCATTCTGGGTTTGATTGACACAAACACACATTTTCAGAAAAGCTGTTTTGTAAGACAAATGTTACGTAGCAACAACAAGCTGTGTATATGTCAGATACCTTCAGCACACAGGAAGCAAAGAAGGCCTGGTTTTTCAGCTGTGAAGGGATCTCAAAAGCCAGACCCAGATCATTACCTGCGAAAGACAAACAGGAATCAGTTACAGCGGCTCCCATTTGCATTAGGGCTGCACTATATACTGATATTAAAACGAATATTGTGGTACATTTATAGAGGTACACTACTATTGAAAAATTTGGGGTTGGTAAGATTTTTCTCTTATGCTCACCATTTATTCAATTTTATTTGAAACAGTTGTGCCTTTTAATATTTTTGTGGAAACAGTGATACATTTTTTTCAGGATTATTTGAATTAAAATAAAATACAAAAAAAAGCATCTGAAATAGACCTTGAAGTATTTGAAATAGAATTTGTATTTGAAATAGAACTCTTCTGTAACACTTTAAATATCCTTACTATCACATTTGATACATTTATTTCATCCTTGTTGAATAAAAGCATTAGTTAGTTAGTTAATATATATCTTACTTGCTCAGTAAGGTAGTGTATAACATTATTTTATCTAATCTGGATGACAATTCAGCATAGCTCTGCATAGTGTGACGACATGCTTAAATTAAATTAAATCAAATCATTCACTAAAACCATTACAAAGGCATATGTTAAAAACAAGCCTTACCATTTTTGGAGAATGACATTTGGCCTTTATCCGGATCTACGTAGCATCCGATGGTGTCGTGCATAGTGAACTCCTAGAAAAGGCATAAATCATGTCAATCTACCAAAACTTGAGTGTCAAATCAAATATCCTTGTCATACCTTACCTCTCCATAACTATCAAACTGCTTATTGTGAGATTTCTTTCCAGTTCCTCCGAAGCCAAATCCATATTTGTCTGTTCCTAAGAGATTGTAAAAACAGAATACCAAACATTCTTATTACTGAAGTAATGACATGGAGTTGACAGATCAGTGTAATGAGGTTGTACTAAAACATACCCAAGTCCAGTGATGCCTGGGCAGTAGACCAGCCCACCCTGCACAGCCCTTGATCGTGACAGGTTACTTCATAATAATACTTCCCTAGAGAAAAATCAGCAGAATAAATCCCAGGAATCCGTAGGTTTTGGGAAGAAACAAAACACAAAATAGATGTTCTCTTACCTTTTGTGACAGCTTTGGTGGAACGACAGCCATGCCACTCTTTGAATTCTCTGCTCTGACAGCACAGGCCATCTGCACCAATAGCTGAAGGAGAAAAGCCAAAATGTAATATAATAATATTGTTGCAACAAAGTAGTTGAAATAAGCTTCCCGAATCACAATGAAAAGTTCAGAATGAAACCAGGCTAGGCCTTTCACATATATATGAGTGTTAAATACTTACCAAATGCAGGACTTCTGTCATAGGGGTTCATCTGCCATTTATTGAAAACTGGAATGGACAAGAAATCCAAAAGGAACAATCAATAAATCAAAACCAAAAAAATTATCTTTTGAGAGCAAATGTCTGGAAAGTAGTTTCTGAAATAAAATCCTCTATATCTAGCAGTCTCAATATACTTCAGACAAGGAGGTAAAGTAGATGCTATTGTTTTCTGATGAATGCATTTCTTTTTCTGTCTTTTTTAAGTATTATTTATATACTATTATAGTATTTATTAATATTTTGAATTCGATTTTATTTTTAATTGTAGTTTAAGTTTTCATAATTTTGTTGTCATTTGATTTATTTATTTACATTTCTATTTAGCTTTAATTTACTTTTATTTCAGTTTTAATAATTTCAGTACCTCAACTTATTTCAATTAGTTGCCAAGCCAACATTTGTACTTATAAAACATTGTACTGTGCTGTGTTCAAAAGGGAAAAATCCCAGGGAAAAATAGGAATGTATCGCCATCCTGTAGTAATTCTTACCCATGGAACATCAATGTAAACGAAGACCGGCTATATACATAAATGTGTTAAATGCTGATATATAGATGAAGGTTTAATACCTGCTCCTCCTGTCTTAACAGCACTGCGTCCCTTCTTCCCCTCCTGCTGGTCTTTAAGGGTCTCATAGACTATCTGGATAACTGGAATACTGAAGGCCTACAAGACCACATTGATTTTGTGTTCACATTTCACTGCTCCTTTATATATAAAATACACTTCTGATGTGTGTCATCACAAATGTTTTTATGGTCAAATACAAAGACACAGAAAACCCAACACTGCGCTAATCAGCAATTATTAATGTCTACGGTTGCACACTTACTCCAGTTTTTCCGCTCCCAGTCTCAGCAGCCTGTAAACACAAACACACAGGTGAGCACAGAGGTGGTGATCATGCACAAACAGACACTGCGCTGGATAGGGATCTCACCATGAGCACGTCTCCTCCGCCCAGAATCAGTGGGATAGATTCGGCCTGAATGTCTGTTGGCAACCTGAAAGAGAGGGTCAAACCATTAACTACTTTAATAATGCACAGATAACTAACTTATTAATGCATTTATGATGTGTATAAGAACCAGGAGAGACTGTCTAACTCACAGCCAGTCCATTTCTTCCACCGCCTGTGCAATTTCAGGCATCACTCCCATTTCTATAAAGCAAAACGAAAAGATATCAAGATCGCAAATAGTTAAACCACACTCAATATATAACTAAATACATATTCTTATAGTTTTGCTAAAATGTTGACAGGTAAATCTCACCGCCAAACGCTGCCATGGTGTCAAACTCCTGCGAGTGTCTCCACCGGATGTAACGTGTGCTGGTTTCTGTTTTGGCAGAGTGCTACATAAAAAAACGGTCCGTGCGGATTATGCTTCCGCGCTTCAGTTCCGCTGAACTTGTTTTTATTAACAAAAGAGATAAAAGGTTAATTTTACCACCTAGAGCGACAAAAAATAATAAAACCATGTTTTAGGAACAGATACGTTTAGAAAACAACCTATAGATAATCAGTCGTAATATATGAAAGATAATCGGTACATTAATATGTACCTCGCAGACCGCCGTAGTGTGACGTGGAGAAAACATGGCAGGTGATATAATTCTAGAAGACGAAGAGGAGAATATTTTATATGATTTACTTATTAACACAGAATGGCCACCCGAAACAGATACGCAGGTTTGTCTAAATATACGCACTTTCTTTGACTAAATGATTATTTGCACCCGATATTAAAATAATACATGTAATTAAGCAGATCAGTTCTGCGCAAGTTATTATAAGCCACGTATCCAAGTTCATCATCATCCAGGGTTTATTTTCTTGGTAATATGATTATGTAATAAATACCATTATGATGACTTGCAACTCCTATATATCCTATATATATATATATATATATATATATATATATATATTATATATAATTTTTTTTTCGGTTTATTGTCAAATATAATCACCAGCTGCAGTTTTGAGGAGCAGGTTCAAGTTCAAACTTCGGCTGATGACCGCTGCTAAAAACAGTCTGTGAGATCATTCGTTAGTTTGTGTTTGATTTTCAGCTGCGTGGACTGAAGGAACACAACTCCTCAATCGTTGCAAAGGCAGTAACAGGTATGAAGTGCAGACATGAGACGCAGCACGTGCAAATGTTTGCAAGATGCCATTTTTCGTCATGCATACCGAATATGTCTCAAAAGTTAGGTAAAACGTGACTGTAATTTCTTGGTAGGCAGCTCACGTGTTTCTTTCCAAAGCAGCTTTACAGAGAACAGTGTATCAGTATGAATGTGTTTATTTGACAGATATGTTTACTCAAGGTAATATAAACTCCATCTGAATAATATACGACCTAATCACATCTTATTTAGCAATTTTAGTCCAAATCAAGTTGCTTATAAATCTACTTAAGTCAGATTATTTGTGTTTTAAGTGTGGATTCTGGGGGTTAGTTTGTTTTTACACGTGAGAAATAATTGAAATGCTTATGCACTTAATTTTTAATACAACAACTTTCCATTCAAATAATGCCTTGTTTTGTAGTTTTAAGATGATTTACTCATTCAGAGTTATTTTAGAATTAGTTATATATAATTGTAGGTATATTAATATTTTGAATTAGCATTTTTAATATATACGTCATTTGCGTTTTAGGGTAAGTTTTTGTATTTTTTTTATGAGCCTTTGTCATTATTATTTTTTTTTGATGTTTCTATATAATGTTCTATATAATGTTTCTATTTTTATAACTTTAGTACTTATTTACTTTGATACATTTTTGGTACTTTAGTATTTTTTTTTGTTGTTGTTGTTAGTTGCCAATGTAACAGTTTTCATTTTTCATTTGATTTGTTTTTATATTTATATTTTCAGTTTTATTTCAATTGCCAAAATTTTTTTTTTAATAGTTTTAGTTAAAAACAACAACAACACTGATTATATGCAAAGTCTATATAAGCTGAATTGCATTACCCCAACAATTGCATTGCTGCCTTAACATGGTTGTGAGATTATTGAATAATAGTCAAAATATTGTGTCTTTACAGGGCCCTTCAGGTTTATTCTGCACTACCTTTGGTACAGGTGAGATATTGTCTCTGCTTTTTGTATTTACAGTGAAGTATACAGTAGCTGTGTATTTAGAATTGGAAATACAGTAGATAGTGATTCTCCCATATTTAAATAATTAGATATGATGATATTACACCACATACAATATCTTTCAAAAGTTTAGGGTCAATAAAATGTTTAAATGTTCTTAAAACATGTTTCTAATGCTCACCAAGGCTGCATGTATTTGATCAAAAAGAGAGTAAAAATTATTAAAATTGTTATTATCTATTTTAATATATTTTAAAATGTAATTTATTCCTGTGATAGCAAAGCTGAATTTTCAGCAGCCATTACTCCAGTCTTCAGTTCTTAAAAAATCTTTCTGACCTCAAACTTTTGAATGTCTGTGTATATCTTTACTATAGAAAGCAAACAAAGTACCTAGTTATTCTCAGTAGTCAGTACCTGTAAAATTTCAGCAGCTGTTAGTGTTTGTGTGTGAGTCTCTGTACTTTTTTCTGTATTTCAGCCCCTCCAGTTCAACTCTGCCACCTGGACTGGTTCGCCTTGCAACCAAACAGTTGAACTGGCAATTGGTGCTGGCAAGGTAATACCATCAGTTTTACTGTATATACCATACAGACATACTGTATAAAAGCTTTTCAGAGAGTTTGAGTTAGTCTATTCCAGGCAGGTTCTGGCAGGTTCATTCACAGTGTGAAAAGCTCTTTTGCACTTGATGCATCGGCATTTGCTGTATATTGATCATCCACACCTTATTGACTCTGCATTACTAAAGTGTATGCTGTGTCTCACCAAAAAATCATTGTATTTTGCCCCTAATTTAGACTCTAAAGTTGTTTTAGGTTAATTTTAACTGCAACAACACTGTTTTCTTGGTTTCGTTTGTGTGTTTTGGTTCTTGCTGTGAGAGATCCAAATTTAATTAAACGTCTGTTTGTGGATGCAAGCCATGTAATCTCAATCAAACTCATTTTTTTCCCTTCACTGTTCTTCTTGTTCCTGCCAGTTATCTAGTTATGCAAAACAGTGCAATACAAGCAGAGACAGCGAGCTTTAATTAGCTATTGATTTCCAGATGGAAGACAACACTCTCTGTGTTAGAAATGTTTATTTTTGGCCCCACGTTTGCTTACACAGTCATTCTGTCTTCTTTTCTCCCATTTTGTTTATTTATTTTTTCCCCATCCAGTAATGGGAAGCTTCTGGCTGTGGTTCAGGACCAATGCGTGGAAATTAGGTAATTCTGCACATTGATTGGAAATGTTTGCCCTTTCTATAATTGGTTAATTTTTCACCCTCTTGTCTCAGGGGCTGTTCAGCTGAGCAAAGCTACTTCTGAGATTGATGATTTGGTGCAGATGATGTATTTTTAAACATTTGTATGTGTTTTCATGTACAATTCCGTTTCAGTGGGTGTGATTTATTTTGCTTAGCACCAGCTAATCCGCTCGCGCAGAAATGAAAGTGTCATGCTTCAGGGTCTAAGTAATTCCCAGCCTGAAATTCTGAAAACAACCTCTAAATTGGTTAATCTAAAAAAATCTATATTTTTTTCCACATTCTCCTATATTTACTTACTGAGGCTGATGGGAACTCAAAACACTCATATGTGATTATCAAAACGCTTCTAATGGGCTTCTTGCTGTCTTTTAGGTCAGCTAGAGATGACTTTGGATCCATCAAAGGAAAATGCCAAGGTACAGTAAACATTTTGTTTTGTGGTTATGCCAGGCTATTTCCCCAGATTTTCAACAAAATTAGTAGCATATAGCAGAAAGTTTCTGTGAATTTTGACGTTCTCAGCAAATATTTGCTGATTTAATTGGAACTTAATACCATTATAAACCTTTTCAGACTGGTTCATGAATATTAATTAGGTGACGTATATGGTGTGTGTGTGTGTGTGTGTGTGTGTATATATATATATATATATATATATATATATATATATACACACACGCACACACATTTATATTTATTCTCCCTATCTTTGATTGCCGTTTCAAAGATTGAAATCTGCCGCTTTGAGTTTCCAGTCTTTGGTTAAATAGGCTGTTTTACGTGTTATTCTCTTCCCTGCTCTATATTTTTCATAGCTTTAGATTTGTGTTGAATTTTTTATGAGCAATATCATTCAGAGACTAGGCCTGCAGACATGCAAGTCTGCTTTCAATTCACTTTCATTCTTACTGTCTTAGTTCATTTCAGTTCATTTCATGGAGATTTGCATTCAGCCAATATTTTCTATAAAGGCAGAATTTCCAGTGGTGTGAAGTATGTGTCATGGATGTGTTTGATTGGCATAGTCTTTTTTTATGCTCTATATTCACGCTTCTTTCTTTCCTCTCTCGTCTTGTGCAACAGAATGTGATGTTTTATATGTACCAGATAAATGTGTGTTCTGTGGTCTAACCCTAATGGGAATGCTTTCCTCGTCTCTACATGTAAGAGTCAGTGCATATACATTCTCAGTCATTCATTAAGAAGTCATCTGTGCATAAATGAATGATGTGTGAGTTAAGAGCATTAGACGAGAAAGAAAAATAATAAGCAGCGATATGTGTCTATAGTAAATTAAAACTGATTTATGCTGTCGGTTATGTCTATGAAGTTGAACCATCATTTTCTACGTTCTTGTCAGTTGCAGATAGGCAGGACATTAGGGTGAATGGTATTTCTACTCTAAATATAAAAAATATTTATATAAAAATAAATACTGATAACCAGTAAATGGCTGATATTAAAACTTGATACTAAATAATAAAAAATATATAATAATAATAATAATAATAATAAAATACTATATAAATTAACAATAAAACATAGTTTAAAAAATTCATTAGTACAGGTGAATTTAGGCATAATATTATAATGTACACTGTACAGTATTATGAATGCTTTTGGTGTTAAATTATGGCAAAGGTAATCTAATTGAAGTAATCCATTAAATGTCCAATATTGGCTGATATGAAAAATTGTAAGTAATATCAGTTTTTAGCCACTAATAATGTACCCATAAATGATGCATCCCTAACACAAATCTGTGTATTGCTGCATGAGTCATCAGTAATTTTGGTCCAGGAATAGAAAAATGGACAAGCAGATGACGTGATTGATGACATGACTCCTGTCATATGATGTCACTACCAAATGGTTAATAATTCAAAAGGGAATATAAGCCGGCACAGACCATTACAGATCAGCAGCATTCAGCCCAGTTGGTTACAATAAATGGCTGCTCTGCTTTGCGTCCAAATGCAATTTGCGAGTCCC